CCTCCCTCACCAACCTCGGAGCCCCTGTATTCCGCAAACCTCTCGGTACCCCTCGATGGTCACCACTCCCTCATTTCAATTTATTACCTACGCCTCCCTAAGTACAGAGCCCCGAAGACTTCCGGACAGCTCCGATGTCCGCTAGCGCACCCCCGCCTCCGCTGGGCAATACACTCGCCTGCCCTGCAGAGCCCACCTTCGGGCCTATCCCTCCTTTCTGTTTCTGGGTTAACGCCTGCCTTTCCGCTAACCCCACGAACCGACTCGTCGGTAATATTCAGTCGGCTAATGTTTAAACCCCATTAGCTCCGCTCCGTTCGGCTCCGCCAATTGTGGAACCGTCTCCGCTGTAACCATATATATATCCCACTTGTACATAGGTTACACCCCAGTAGTAAAATCAACTAGAGTTACCCCCCCTAGGTTCTAATTGCCAGTCAGTAAGTTAGGGCACGGACGTGTCACTAGGCACAGCGCTCTTGGCAGAAGTCGCTGAGGCTGAAGCCCTCCGTTACGGAGACATTCCTTCGTCTCAAGTCTGGTCTCTGACACTTCAATGGTCTCAGAGTATTGGTCTTCATGGACTAATGCAGTGGAATTAGGATGAATTCCACTATCATCAACAGGATGCTTGCATGGTGCAGTTATGGCTTGAGCAAGAGTGGTATCTTGATGTGGAAGATCATCAAGATGTTGAAGTGGCATTCTGATGCCCTTGTTGTTACGGTTATTGTTCCCTTTTATGGGAAGTTTCATTGTCCTAATGCTTTAGCCTTTGTTCATTTGCACCACACAGAAATGTATATAAGTACGTGTTGTTTGAGCAAGACATGACGACGCACCGGTACGCATATCATGCCCATATCGGCTATCCAATATGATACCCTTTTACCATGTGTTTCGTGTTTCACTGTTGATTGCCTTCCACATGTAGCGCTGTCGCGTATCTCATTTTCTTATCACTTTTGTCTGATATCCGTGTTATTACTTTAACTACTTATACCGCTGTGCGGTTACAATATTAAGTTGGTTGTTCCCCGTTATCCGAGTGTCTCCGCTGAGAGCTACATAACAACAGTACGATGTGTAGAGCTGGATGACACTATCTAATGACACTGTGATATCGTACTCAGAGGATTGGGCTGCAATGCCGCGATTATAATGGGGGTCGGCAATCCACGTTGAAGCGTGCCACCCCCACATGACCCACTTTTCCCCGTGAAACCTGGCGAGTCCTTTGATCGTCCAACAAAGTGCTCAAACTCTCTCCGATCTCTTGATTATTGTTATTAACGTCAATATATGGTCTCTAGTAATCTAAATGGCCAGTTATTTTGAAAATTACTCTGTGGGATTGTGCTGATCGGCTGTCATCATCTCGCTATCTCCCGCATCCTCCATTTCTCGCCCTCTCCTGTGCTCAATTGCTACCACCAGCTCTCTAACCTTGTCGGCCTTCTTTGGCATGCGACTGCTGAGAGGAACTAATGCATCTTGGAGCCTATATGCGTTTAGCTGAGGCTCCAGCTGCGCAATAGTTGTCTTCGGGTTTCTTGCCCATTCTATGTCGTTGGTGAGTTCAACCGCCTTTAATGCCTCGATTTTAGCGGTGTATTTGAGTTCCTTTATCTGCCTTTTCCTCCTATTTTCTGCAACCTTCGCTATTCCAGCATCTGCAAGCAATTTTCTACGAGCTTTCTCGGATCCCGACGCGCTGATACATCGACCGGCTGTCCGCAAGATCTTGTGTTTTCTTGGCGTAAGCTTTGCTGTGATGAATTCGTCGACATCATTATGACGGATCATTAGTTCTGCGTTGAGAGTATCTAAAGTCTTTGTTGGGTTTTTGGTCAGTGCACTGCGCATTTCTCCTAGAAGTCCCTCATTTGTGTCGTTGGTTGTAGGCATGAAGGCAAGCTCCTTCTCCTCTGGACTCATCAAATCGATCTCAGACCCTTTCATGAGTTCAGCTGAGAACCATGTAAGGGTGTCAAGTGCCCGTTTGGTGAATGCGATGAATGCGTCACGGAGGTTGGGGAGGTGTGGAGAAAGATGTTGGATGGCCTGAATGGTATCGGGTCTAATCCAATGGTTCCGCTTGTCAAGGTGAGCCATGTTTGGTTCTGCATCTTTACCCAAAACAAGGTCGGGATTAGCTATGAGGGATTGCATGAAGGTAAAAACGTGTTCATGCCATGCTCCCTCATTTAGCATGTTTACTTCCGTTGGCCTTCCCCTCCTAGCGTGTTCCACATATGGGTGAGAGACACAGAGTGAGAATAGAGACATGACTGCAAGTTCCGTGAGCGTAGGAATATTGTTGAGTGCATCATAGAGGTTTGCCTCAATGTTGGTAAATTCTTGTTTGTCCTTTAAGTCCCGGATGTACTCAAGGAAGCTTCGGTACAATGGTGCTCTAGCAATTAGCTCGCTTGCCGCATCCCCATGTGAACAATAGCGAGTGTTGGAGACATCCGGGAAGGGAGGACAATTTTTTCCGAGAGTCCTTTCCATAAAGTGACGGTAGGTATCATGATATCCTTTTTTGTCGTCACGGTGATTTAGTAGGAGACCAGCAAGCATTGTAGCTTTAACCCCTCCAGCATCACGTCCCGAAGATGGCTTTGACTTTGCATCAGTAGAGGCTGATGCTTTATCTTTGTTGAGAAGTGGCCGAGGTGGGGTAAGGTTGTTATTCCTCCAGAAATCATCAAGAGAAGCGCAGCCAGCCTTGAATATATTGAGATCTTTGTGCATGGAACACCCAACCCAGACAAAGTTGAAGATGTCACGGTGTTCGTGATCTGTAAGTTTGTCCGATACTTCGGTACCAAGCTGATGAAGTGACTGAAGCTTGGCCGCTTCAAGACTTTCCTCCCTCTGAGCATCTGATAAGGCCTCCCAAGCGCTGTTCCCACCCACTGCTGCAATGGCAGCAATCTCGTTCCTTGCATTGATGAGATTTCGCTCATGTTCTGAGAACCCCGACCAAGCATTGTGGCCAAGCTTCTGGATACAGTGCTCCGCCTTCTTTGCCTTCATTAGCCGAGCCCTTTTCTTCTGGTCCTCAGCATGGTCAGAATTAATCCCCCTGAGTTTTGTATAAATCGAGGAAATATCCCCCAGAGTATCGGGCTCGGAATTGCAGTGTCCAGTACGCATCTGTAGGATATCCCGGAGCGCATCTTCAAATCCTTGCACCTGTGCCTCACTACGATGCGATGTTGCAGTTTGCATGGCAACAAATCGGTTCTTCCGGACTTGAGGGGTGGTGATACCCTGCTCCTTGCACTTGTAATCGGGAACCTTCATCATGATGCTTGTGGCTTCATATTGTGTTTTCCTGTGAGAAGTTCCATCTCCACTCGTAGTAAAGGCTGTCAGAAATTACTTAGAATAGATATGTGTCTGTAATAGTAATATGAGGCAAACCTTCGGTGCGGATGAGTTCTGAAGCTAACTGGAGCTTCCCTGCTTCAAGGGCTTCTAGGACTATTCTTTGTATGGTACGGGGGCTTGGAGGGTTTTTGAGTGGTTTTCCAAGCATTTTGGAGACCTCATATACTGCCTTTCCAACACTCCGGAAGGGAACTCCATCTCGGACCAAGCGACGAATCAGCGTGCGGGCTTCCGGTGTGAATGTACCATTTAAGATCAATGGAGAAGACAACATGTTCTTCATGCATTTTTTTATCTTGCTTATTTGCCGACAATGGGACCGTTTGAGATTTTTGACCTTCTGACGGAGTTTTGCTATCAAGTTGGACTTCTTAGTGCACGTCTTCTGGGCATCCCTGGCGGAAGACTGTGCGATTTCTATCTCCTTTGCATGGATTTTCGACTTCCGGATGAGCTGAGCCTTGATGTCTGCACATTCCTTCTGTAATGCAATATTCTTTTCTGCCTGGATTGCATTTGACTTTGCTGCACGTTTGATCCTTTTGTTTTGGTTCCATATTTGACATTGTAGGTAGTTCTTCTCTTTGTTCCTCTCCTTGATAATTCCTGGGTATGTTATTGTTGCTTTCTTTTTTGTGCAGGCTTTGGCATTAGAAGGTAATTTGATTGATTCCGTGCCATTGTGTTCCATGATATTAACAATTGATGCAGCTTTTTGATTACGAGAATGGCCATTCCTTTTGACCCGGTTCCGCTGTGAAGCCATGCTACAATAGGATCCCTCATCAGTACCTAACCCCATCCCTTATGGTGTGTGAATGCACTTAAAAGAGCAAAAAGGGCCCACTTTGCGTGCGCGAATTCGGGCTTCGGCAACTGCCGCATGCTCTCGATAACCACAAATCCCGCTGCCCAAATTTCTCCTTCATCTCATAGTGTCTTGACTTTACAGATGAATTGAATATATATTGTATTGGATGTATCTAGGTATCCGTAGGTTTTGTTTTTAAAGTTAATGGCATCTTTCATGTTTTTCACTGTGATTTCTCGCCATATCTCAACAAAGAAGCATATTCAAAACGAAAAAAACCTAAGGTGCACTGGTATGGGTCACCAAGAACACTATTTTGCAATCACTTGAGTTCTATATCTGTTGTGTAGAGAGTCAAATGTCCTGCCGTTCCCAGCTTTATTCGCGATAGACAGCACAGCCACAGGTGGGTGGACGGTCGTCAACCTGAATTGCCGACCCCCAATTATAACACAAGAACGGTCTGGCCAGGCACTTCCGTTGTCACGCTGTTCCTGGCTCCCGGTTGGCTGTCACGCTAAATCTAGGCCTGCCGGTTGAATGTCCGACATAAAATTTTGTCACGGTCCAAAACCATCCGGTTGTTGGTTGTGTGCGTACAGTATTGTCAAAATGTGAACCGGAACCGAACCGAACCGTGGCACCCCTATTCGTGGCTATACTAAAGCCAGCTGGTTTTGAAACCACGTGAGTGTGGGATGCAAGCCACAATGGGAGTGAACAACTGACCCCCCGAAATATATGTTGTGCAAAAACAACGGCCATTTTCTTTGGTATCACGTGATTACATCTTTATCTCAGACGTCTCCCTTCATTTGCCGACCCCCACAGCGTCTAACCATCCGCAGCTGAGGTTCAATTAGCCATGACGACTCGCGGACACTTCAAGGGCGTTTACTCCCTATCCAGTGCGTCACATCCTTGCTACAGTGTTTATGCCATATGTTCATTTTGAAGCAGTCTTCGAGGCTAGAGATGTCAAGAAAGCGTCCCCAGCCCTTTATGTCATGCCTATACTGTCGGGAAATAAATTTAAGAAAACTGTGGTGAAGCGAGACCTGACGCCAACTTGGGAGTACTCTTCTTCTCTGTAGGTTCCTTGTGATTAAGGTAGATCAGCCCCGATAGTCCGCTGAAGCACACTTTCAGGACTGCAGAATTGTCTTCTGTCCTGTCACTTCGCCTCAAGCACTTCCGTGGGCGGTATTTACCCGCAGATCTGCTTGGTTCTGTGGACATCAAGATAGGGGAGTTGCTAGATCATTGCGCGGATGGCCAACGTGAGCTCGTTATCTTTAGTCTTGCCTCCTTGTGTAGTATCATTTTGCACTGTTCTAGGGACTACCCTAGTGCTCCGTGACAAACGAGGTCGAGAGGCAGGCTCGCTCATTGTGCAGCTGCGGGACACTGCACCACTTGAAGCCTCCGTGGACCCCGTGGACAACAAGGCCATTCTCGGCGTTGACCAAGAGTCGCCTACTTCGCCCGCGGTTCCCGAGCCGGTTCAAAATGTTATCAGTTCCGCCGCTGCTGTCCAAGATTTGGGCAGCGACGTTGTGAAGTCCCTCAAACAAGTGGTTCAAAAGACAAAGGCCGTGGTGGATCTTGTCGATAAAACAGCCAAGGTACATGTTGCTCCACGGCGTGTCTTTGAGTTGCTCTGACTTCGTTGGGAAGCTCCATCCTTACGCACATATTGCTTGGCAAGTCTTGACTTCGGCGTACCAAGTACGGATTCGTCCTTATCATGGCGCGAGCTTGTGTACACTGACGATTGTCGCAGGCCGTTCAAGGACAGATCGAGTGGGGTGACACACTTCGTGATCTCGTCGGCTCTATGGCCGATCTCTATTCCTTCGTCGATGATGTCGATGAGTTGGAAGATAAAACCAAGTCTCTCGAGCACATCATTATCCGAGTCTTTGTCCAACTGACCGAATGCGGCATATTCATTAAGCAGTTTGTGTCCCATAGATCCGCAGGTAAGCTGCTCGATCGTCCGTTTGCTTTGTTCAGCGTTGACCAACCAGTGTGCGGTACGTCAACTAGGACGCCAAACATTCTCGAACACCTCCCAAACCATCTCGAACCTCTCGCAGGCGCTGAAAAAACTCAAGGAAGACCTTCAGCTTGGAGTAACGTCTCACACTGCACTCGTCTCGGCTCAAATATCCTGGGACGTGAAGACACTTGGTGCGATGACTCCATCCTCTGCGCACAAGACGCTGCTTAACTTTAAGGATCATAGTTGAAATCGAAGCCTTAAAAGCTCTGAACCCCGCGACTATGGATGCCGGAAACCGAGATACATGTTTACCCGGGACTCGAGTGGACATACTGGAAAACCTCATTAATTCTCTGATAGATCCTTCCGGCCATAACATCATCTGGTTTCGCGGACCGGCTGGATCCGGCAAGAGTACGATCCTCAACTCGGTTGCTCAATACTTCTCAGAGCTGCACCGATGCGGCGCTTTCCTGTTTTGGGACCGAAACGACCCTGTCAATAGTGACCCTGTCCGTGTGATTCGTACTCTTGCCTTCCAGCTGGGTTGTTTCAAACCTGAAATTTGCGCGAAACTGTCCGTACAGATCGAAAATTCGTCCCATACATCACCCCTCGATACGCAATTCAAACATCTTCTCGAGGAGCCTCTGGCCGAACTTGCCAAAGAGTCCGATCTAGCCCCTATTGTGATCATCCTTGATGCCCTTGACGAGTGTGGCGCCGTAGGAACCAGGAGAAATCTCCTTCGCACATTATCTGAAGGCCTTGCCAGGCTTCCGAGTATGTTCCGGTTCTTGATAGCCAGCCGGGACGAGCTTGACATTAATGCCGCACTATCACACCCCGGCGTCGATGTACGGGACGCACCGATTGGTGATGAGTCGACATCATCCGATATCAGGCTGCTTTTCCAACAACGTCTTGCCAGCAACGCCCACGCCTTCGTGAAGCATCATCTGCCATCCGATTGGCCGACAGAACCCGTAATAGAGCAGCTTGTTACGCTCTCCGGAGGTCTTTTCATTTGGGCATCTACAACCATTCTCTTCATCGAATCCGGCTCTCCCAAAGAAAGGTTGGATAAAGTATTAAGTGGATCAGGGATGGCCCGTCGGATACTAGGTTGCACAAGTTATATCGGGTCGCTCTTGCCCATCCATTTAAGTCATACAACGAAAGTGAACTTACAGACGTACATTCCATCCTTGGTGTGATCGTGGTCGCTCGTGAGCGGCTAACAGATGAGCAGCTTAGTCAGCTGCTAGGACTGGGGATACGCAAGGTCCAAGCTATACTCTTGGGTTTGCAACCGCTCTTGCAGGGCGGTTATGGGCGCCCTATTCAAGTTTTGCATGCATCTTTCACCGACTTCCTGTGTGACGTCAGACGGCGCGAAGATTCGCGATGGTACATCCACCCATCCACCCACCACCTTGACCTCTCCTCTGGTTGTCTCCGGATCATGCAACGAGACCTCAAATTTAACATCTGTGGGATCGAGACGTCCCATTTCCGGAACAAAGAAATTGAGGGGCTCCAGGAGCGCATCAATCAAGCCATAACGCCTGGCCTCATGTACGCGAGCCAATACTGGGTAGACCATCTAGAATTTGGATCCGTGTCAGGGCCAGGCTCGCATCCTCTTGCAGATACGATTATGGATTTCTTCCTTCACCGATTCCTATATTGGGTTGAAGTGTTCAGTGTGACGGATCGGATGTCCATGTTGTACGTGATTCTAAGGAGGTTAGTCAGTTGGGCTACTGTAGGTCACTTTTCTCATGTGTGATGGTGACAATTCACTGATTCATTTGCATAGAATCATGCGCGAGGACTTGAGGAAATTATCTCGGAAGCACACCGATTTATAAATGCATTTGGGTATCCAATCAGTCAGAGCCTGCCACACATTTATCTGTCAGCTTTGCCCTTTTCACCTTCTCAATCTCCTATTCTGCGCTATGTGCATAATGCATTCCGGAACACTCTTTCTATTCGAGGACGGATTTCCAATCAATGGCCTGCAATTCATCAGACAATCAGAGGGCACTCTGACTCTGTCACATCAGTTGCATTCTCTCCTGATGGTACTCGCATCATCTCAGGCTCTGGCGATAAGACAGTTCGAATTTGGGATGCTGTGTCAGGGTTACCAATTGGTGAACCTCTGAAAGGACACTCTGACTCAGTCAGATCGGTTGCATTCTCTTCCGATGGCACCCATGTTGTCTCAGGCTCTGATGACAAGACGGTTCAAATTTGGGATGCCGTGTCTGGGGCACCAATTGGTGAGCCTCTGGAAGGGCACTCTGGGCCAGTCACATCGGTTGCATTCTCTTCTGATGGCACCCAAATCATCTCGGGCTCTGAAGACAACACTGTTCAAATTTGGGATGCTGTGTCAAGGGTGCAAATTGGAGGGGCTCTTGAAGGGCACTCTGACTCGGTTCGATCAGTTGCATTCTCTTCCAATGACACCCACATTGTCTCAGGCTCCTCTGACAAGACAATTCGAATTTGGGATTCCATGTCAGGGGTACCAATTGGTGAACCTCTACAAGGGCACTTTGACTTGGTCAGATCAGTTGCTTTCTCCCCTGATTGCACCCAAATCATCTCAGGCTCTTCTGACAAGACAGTTCGAATTTGGGATGCTGCCTCAGGGGTACCACTGGGTGAGCCTCTGGAAGGTCACTCTGACTGTGTCACATCGGTTGCCTTCTCTTCTGATGGCACCTGTATTATCTCGGGCTCTGATGACAAAACAGTTCGAATATGGGATGCCATGTTGGGGGTGCCAATCAGTGAGCCTCTAGTAGGGCATGCTCGCTCAGTGACATCAGTTACATACTCTTCTGACTTGACCCGCATCATCTCAGCCTCTGATGACAAGACCATTCGAATTTGGGATGCCATCTCAGGGGCACCAATTAGTGAGCCTCTGCAAGGGCATTCTGGCTCTGTCACATCGGTTGCATATTCTTTGGACAGCACCCACATCATTTCAGGCTCTTCTGATAAGACAGTTCGAATGTGGGAGGCCATGACAGGGGTACCAATTGGCAAGCCTTTGGAAGGACATTCACACATAGTTACATCAGTTGCTTTCTCTTCTGATGGTACCCACATTATCTCAGGCTCTTTTGACAAGACAGTTCGAATTTGGGATGCCAAGTTGGGGGAACAAATTGGCAAGCCTCTGGTAGGGCACACTCACTCCATCACATCGGTTGCATATTCGCCCAATGGCACCCACATCATCTCAGGCTCCTTTGACAAGACAGTTCGAATTTGGGATGCTGAGTCAGGAGCACAAATTGGCAGGCCTCTGCAAGGGCACACTCACTCAGTCACATCAGTTGCATACTCGTACAATGGCACCCACATCATCTCTGGCTCTTCTGACATGACCATTCGAATTTGGGATGCCAAGTCAGGAGCACCAATTGGTGAGCCTCTACAAGGGCACTCTCGCTCAGTTGCATCAATTGCAGTCTCTTTTGATGGCACCTACATCATCTCTGGCTCTGATGACAAGACAGTTCGAATTTGGGATGCCAGGTCAGGGGTCCCAATTGGAGAACCTCTGCAAGGGCACTCTGGCTCTGTCAGATCAGTTGCATTTTCTCCTGATGGCACTTTCATCATCTCAGGTGCCTCTGACAGGACAGTCCGAATTTGGGATGCCAAATCAGGGGCACCAATTGGTGAGCCTCTGCAAGGGCACTCTGACTGGGTCACATCAGTTGCATTCTCTCCCAATGGCACTTGCATTGTCTCAGGCTCTTTTGACAAGAGAGTTCGAATTTGGGCATTGATGGATGAGCTGGTTCAATCATCACCTGTGTTGGCAGGGATAGCCAACTGTATGTCTCAATTGTGGCAATATATTCATCCTAACTCATGCTGCCATTTCAGGGAGTGGAGTTGTGCACAATGGAGCACCAAAGTTCTCTGGTGGCTTGCTTCATGATAATGGCTGGGCAACTACAACCAATGGACTGCTTCTCTTTTGGGTCCCACCAGAGCATCATTTTGGCCTATGCTGGCCCCATACCCACATGGTTATAGGAGCTCAGCCAACTCACCTTAACATGCAATGCTTTGTTCATGGTTTACAATGGATGCAGTGTCACACAGGGGGTCACTAGGCTTGTGATTAGTACATTGTGATATGTGTCATGGTCACTCCAGCTCATAACCCAGTGTTTTTAAGTAGCATATATATGAGGAAAGTATGTCTGCATGTAATGCTCACTGGTTGGGGACAGTAATGTTCTGTTCCTGTAAGGAATATGTATTGAAGCCACATTACATTATGTATATAAGATGTGCAGGTACAAGAAAAGGCAACTTAGCCTTTACTCCCCCATTAACAATACAGCATATTACAGCGTACTTGTGAGATGGACTGGGAGTGAGGCATTCATAACCATGTGCTTACACTTTTTTACACTTGGGTGAGTTAATTTCAGCTTAACCCCAGCATGTTCCCAATTTCATCAATGCTAATCTTCACCCAGACCCTTGTTCCTGATGACTTCTTGAGGGGTGGCTGGATTGTCTTCTTATTGCAAGAAGACAAAGACTGCACAGAAACCTGTGCAAGAACTCGGTCCTTTTGCAGTTGTTGGTGAAGCCAACACTGCTTCCACTGATCTAAGTCTGATCAGTAGCCCTAATGCACTGTCAGGGATGGCTTGAGAGAGGCAGAGGTAGCAGCGTAGTGCTTGGCACTGGCAGCCCAGATGGTGGTGGGGCAGTGAGACCATATGGTGGGCAGCCCCTACTTGGGCCTATGTCCCTATGTGGCTTCTTAGGCTGAAGCAGGAATTAAAATGGAAAGCTAAACTAAGATGGACTACTTGCCTGAAGCAGGAGTGAGAAGAAGGCTGCTTCTTCAGTCCTGCTTTGGCTTAGTTTATTACATGTGAAAATGGGTCACGTGGAGGTGCCACATCAGCCCTGGACAAGGCTGGGTTGTCACAGGTGGCTCCATGGTCAATCCCAAGTGTCAGAGAGGGGAAGTACAAGTAAGGATGCGTGGCACATCCGGCATTATGGTACCCATGCAGGGTGCCTGGCATCAGGTGCATCCATGCTACATGTGTAGGAGAGAAGGGAAGGTCATCCTTATAAGGATAGAGAAGAAGAAGAGAAGGAAGGAAAGAAGGGAAGAAAGGAGAAAGGAGAAAAGGAGAGGAAGAGGAGGGGAGCGGCGCAGCATGCCCTGACATCACCCCCCCCCTTATGCTGCTTCGCCTCAAAGTGGCTAGGGGGTTCTCTCATTCTCCCCTGGGGGTGTTGGGGTGCGCTTCATAGAACTCTTCAATTCGGTTGTGCACATTGGCCAGGTTGTCAAGGGGGAGCCATTCATTCTCGGAGTTTGGCCAGCCTGTGAACTTCACCAAGTACCAGAGCTTTCTGCAGTGCCAGTGGGAGTCGAGGACCTTCTCAACTTCATACTCTTCTCCCCCATCTATGATTTTGGGGCCTTGGTGGGGGTTGGTGGGTCGCTCAACGATCATGTCTGGATGGTAGGGCCGGACATTTGTTACCGACACCACTGGGTGGACTCCTTTTTGCCATGCTGTGAGTCGGAGTTTGACCATGGCAGTGGATACAACCTTGAGAATTTTAAAAGGGCCCATCCATTTGTGGTCTAGGTTCTTGGGTGGATGGTCCGTGGTGTAGTTCTGGGTGCTGAGCCAGACCTGATTGCCTTCCTTGTACTCAGGCGCTACTTCTCGATTCCGGTCATAGTAGCGGGCCATCTCCTCTGCTGCATGCTCCAGCACTGCCCTTGCCTCATCATCCTTGAGGTGAATGCATCTGCAGCTTCGACTTCTAACATGCACATGGGTTCTGTCCCCATCCTGGGGTGCTGACTGGGGTCAAGCTCAAAGGGGGTGCAGCAGGTAGATGCATGGATGCAGTTGTTATGGGAGAACTCCACTAGCAGGAGCCAATCTGCCCAGTCATCTTGGTGGTGGTTGACAAACTGTCAGGGCACGGCCTAACTGGCTACCCTGACTCCCTATGCCAGAAGGGAGTTGCCGTAAGATGATCCGGAGAGATCCGAAGAATGCAGGTAATCTCGCTTAGCTCTCGCTTAGCATCCCGCTTCTATCTTCCATCCACATGTCACCCCTTTCCCACACCTCGCTTACGATTATCCAAATGAATAGCTAGCTATCTTTTCATGTCATCACTAGAGACCTTAAACCCGTGGGGTGCTTGTTCCTCACACACCCATGCGTTCTTTGGACTCTAGCTCCTGCGGAGGGCATCGGGGCTCCGCCCCATGCAACGTCATCCTTGTTATTATTGTTCCCCATGTGCTAAAGAAACAATGAGATATATGGTGATTATTGATGCACCAAGGGGCCAGCCCCTTGAACCCCTGCTCCTGCAGAGAGCTATTGGGGCGTTGCCCCAAGCCCCACTCCTGTGGAGAGCCTGGGGCTGTGCCCCAAACCCCCTGGATATATTTGATTATTTATGCACCAAGGGGCCAGCCCCTTGAACCCCTGCTCCTGCGGAGAGCTATTGGGGCGTTGCCCCGAACCCCACTCCTGCAGAGAGCCTTGGGGCTGCACCCCAAACCCCACCCCATCAATCATACACAGGAATGAGAAATGCCTTTCCCCCTCTTGGCAATGCAGTGGGTGTGAGGCCCTTTTATTTGTTGTTTTCCTTTATTTCCTCGCCATTTCTGCAAACCCACCACCCCAACCAATCAAATTTTGTCTGTAATTCCTTTGTAAGTTTGTAAAACAGTGTTCCCCATGTTACCATGAATTTTTTGGATTTTATTTTATAGAGAGCACCTTGCTTTTATTTTTCTATCTTGTTATTCTATGTTGTCCCATGTTGCCGTGAATTTTCTGGATTTTATTTTATATAAAATTTATTTTCCTTTGTTGTCCCACATTGCCACAATTTTTTCAGATTTTATTTTATTCAGGACACCTTGGTTTTATTTTTTTTGGATGTTTCTGCTTCATGTTGTGCCATGTTGCCGTGAATTTTCTCAAATTTTTACCTTATATGGAACCCTTCATTTGATTCTGCTCCACATTTTCATTATTCAATTTTATTTACCTATTTATTTTACATGCTAATAGCGAAATACAAAAGAAAAAGAGAGAATACAACAGTACCACCATTTATGGTAGATGCCAATTTCGAAAACATAACCAAACATGACTAATACAACACCACTATTACTATTATTATCTAATTGTATTTGCTAATTAGTGAAAACAACAAAAAAAATAACTAACACAACAATACTATCATTACTTATTAATAACTAATTAGTGAAAACAACCAAAAAAAAAAATTACTAATACAACAATAAACAACTACTATTTTTATTATTATTTATTACTATTTACGGTTATTATGACCTATTTATCTACTTTTATTTACCTATCTACCTATTTTATCTATTTATCTATCTATTTTACATGCCAAAGTCACATGGGAACAAAAAAGAGTTGCTCCCATGGGGGGGTTTGAACCGGTTTTGAGTGGGGGTATTAGTACTTTTTTGCATATGTCTGTGCGCAAAAAAAGTTGTGGGAGGTTATGCTCAATTGCTCACGTGAATTTCCTCAAACTAAACATATACACGTGATTCTTTACATAAATCTATCATATCTCTGTCAGTTCTCATCCGTTTCTCGTCGGGTTTTTTCCAATGGGCGCGTCTTAATGTCCTCTACATGTTGTATTATTAGTCCGACTCGTCGTTCGGCGATCCTGAGGAGATTATGGCGATTTATCGCATTCCCCATTCACAAACTGTATAGTAATCTATTATATCTCGTTTGATACTTGACCAAATGTTTTATAAATTTGCGCACTAATTTATATATTATCAACGCAGGTTTTTAACATTTCTTCATATTTTTCTTTGACATCCATGAGGCACTGGAAGACGTTTCCCATGCACAGACCATGCGTGGAGCGGACACTACATTCGTATCTCTGTCAGTTCCTATTCGTTTCTCTTCGGGTTTGTTTCAACGGGCGCGTGTTATTGCCCTCTACAATTACTATTATTGCCCCGGCTCATTATTGCGTGATTTTGAGGGGTCCAAGTGAAGATTAATGACGAAACCTATTATATCTTGCTTGATACTGAACCAAATGACCTGTAATTTTGCGTACTATTTTATATAGCGTTAACGCAAGTACCCAACATTTTTACATATTTTTAAAACATCTATGAGGTGCTGGAGAACGTTTCCCACGCACAGATCATGCGCGGAGCTGACACTGGATTCGTATCTCTGTCAGTTCCTGACCGTGTCTCGTCGGGTCTTTTGCAATGGGGCTGTATTGACCTCTTCTCCATGTGGTATCATTAGTGCAAGTCGTGAATCAGCATGTATGAGGAGGTGGAACGATTTTTCCACAAATAAAGCATGTACATTAGTATCCCTGTCAGTTTTGATTCGTTTTTTGTCGGGTTTCTTTTAATGGGCCCGTACCAACCCCCTGGCTATTTTCTATTATTGGTGCAAGTCGCGAATAAGCGTTCATGAGGCAGTGGAATGGTTTTCCACAATTTTTCACAAAAAAAAGCATATACATTTGTATCTCTGTCAATTATCATTCATTTTTCACTGTTTTTTTTGTACATACTTGTAACAACGCTCTCATTATCTTATCTCATGGGCGTCAATCACGAATGAGGGTCTATGAGGCAGTAAGACTGATTTTCACATTTTTTCACACACAAAAGACATGTACATGCATATCTCTGTCAAATCTCATTTGTTTTTCGTCGGGTTTTTTTTAATGAGCTTGTATTAACGTTTTCCTCATCTAATATTATTATCACGCGTCGTCAAACAGCCTGTATGAGGCATGGTCACTGTTTCCCACGCACACAACTCACGCTGGGATGGGCCACCACTCGTATCTCCCTCAGTTCTCAACCATTTTTCATGAGGTCTTTTGCAATGGAATCGCTCAAACGACCTCTCCATCTTTTATTATTACACCATGATAGGTTATCTAGTGCAATTGTTAACATTGAAACAGCTCCCACGGCTCAGACAACTGCATTGCTTATGTTAATTATACTGAATTGACCCATTCAAAAACTGAATAGAACCATACATTCAACCTCACTTCA